GGTCTCTATGCATGGCTCACTTTTTATTGGGGAGGAAAGCTTAGGTAATATCCATCACACTCTGCTGCAGGTTTAATATTTTTAACATTGTCAGTAATATTATCTTTAACAACAGTGTTGTTCCTTCAAGAAAGGAGCAGAAACTTCCCCCCTTCTCTCTAATATTCTGTTCCTGACTTCTATGAGCAGGCTTTATTCTCTCAGAACAATTCCTTCAGGCATCCTTACCCATGTTGCTATTTAAGGAAGAGCTTCAGGGTCTACAAGCCTATAAATTCATCACCTCAAGTTTAAGTTGGAGTGCCCTATAGCAAGAGCTGACAAGAACTTATAAAAGAAATCCTATGCTGGGACTCAATGGAGTGCTTGCTCAAATATCAATAAAGACTTTCACATCACCTTTTGGCAATTGTTTATTGTGTGAATTGGCTATTGTTTATTGTTTATTGTCTGAACATACTCAGGAGGGGCAAGTAGGATTTGAGGACCAAATTCACACTTTGAAGCTATATTGGTAAATGGGACCGATCTGAGCATTTTCTCACACCAGGCAACATGGCCCAGGATATGACAGATGGAAATTGTAGTCATCAGCTTTGGCAATGAATAGCTACTGTCTGTTTGAGGCAGCGTGCCAGATAATGTAAAGGAATTATGTCCATTTAAATCAGAAATGCTCAGCTTCTACTTGTCCAGATCATCAGGAAATATATTTATTTGGAAAGCTTTTAGAATGTCATCAACCCAGCTTTAGAGTGTGAGAATGATTGGCTTATACTAAAAAACTATGTTTAAGATAACTGTCAATTCAAACATTTCAAATAACTCTAATCTTATTTACAAACTATGAACTTAGCTCCAAAGTAGCATCACTGAAGAAAATTAGTTACATTAGTAGCTACAGTTACATATATATTTTCCTTTTGAATAACTATCATTGAGGTAGTTGGTAATTTTGATCAATACCATCTTGCATCATATCTGAAACACTGCTGAGGGACTAGATTATATTTTTCCCATTATAAAGCCCCTTAGCTTTAAAGCTCCTCATCAACAACTTTCCAGTACTAGAATTTTACAATAAACAGAAAAGTTGACATGGTTTTATTTGTTCTGTTACTTACAAAATGCCAGGAGGGTTTCAAAGTCATAATAATTATTGTGAAACAGAATAGGCAATAAAATAAGGTTTTATTACTGTAGAAAAACAAACAATTCTACCTCCCATAAATATCAAAAAGTCCTACTATTATTGTAATAAAAATGAAAAACAAAAGTCACTGCCTCTGAAAAATAAAACAGTAAATATATTATTGTCTTGAGATCCCACATGTAAATAATGTATTTCATTAAGAAAGCATCAAAGTAACTAGTATGTTCTCATTTTTGAAGATAGTTTCTTCATAGATGTGAAGGTACTTTATATGCATTATTTGTAGTTCCTTTGTATGTCTCTGAATTAATCAAACCTATTTTTTTAAATGATAGAGTTAAATGAGTTAACTGTGTGTGCATATAAGAAATCCATTAATTATAAACAAATGAAATTTATTTTTAAATGTATTCAACGAACTGAAAAACAGCAAAATATTAGCATAGTGATGTGATCGATATACACCACTTACATGAAGCTCATCATTAACCAATAATAGTAAATATTAAAATATTAGTTCTTCAGATTATTTTTAGCAAACCCACTTAATGATATGTCCACTTTGGAACTACAAATTTTAATATATTGAATATTTTAGCACTATTGCAACTATTTCACTTTGTGAAAATATCAACAAATTTTCAACTTGGAAAAATTGGTATCACATGAGTGATGCATTATCAATTCTTATTTATTTTGTTTATAAGTTCATTAGGAAATTAAAAATTATTTATTTATACTGTGTATCCTTATTTATCAAATTATAGATTTATACCAATCTATACTAATCTCGAATCCATTACTAGCAATGATATGATTACAATTATATGATATTCCCTGGACACTGGCACTTTAGTAACAGAAAATTCTACTGCATACAACCCATAAGAATCTCAAATAATGAAAGCATTCCTGGTTCTACACTGTTACATCATCCTTACATTATGACTTAATATTTTCCTTTCATATAGCATTAGTATCTGTTCTCATACTCATAATTATTACTGTCATATCCCCTTTACTCACTCAAATTCTATCTCAATTCCTTCCTTCTATCCCTCCTTCACTGAACAATTATTAATAATCTAGAATGTGTTAATTAGCCATAGTTTTCTGTGTCTTTAAAACATAATCACTAATATTCCAAGGAAGAATGCAAACATTAAAAATAAAAATAAAGTAGTTATAATTTGACATTATTTATAAGCAAATGTTAACCTACAAATGTTTAACAAGGAGGTCTAAGTTTACGGGGGCTAAGGAGAGTTTCTTTCATGACATAATATTTATTTATTTTTTAAAGATTTATTTATGTATCAATTAAGAACTGGGGTACAAGCCAGAGGTGTAAGGGGGTGAGAGGATTTACTAGAGATAGAAGTGGGGAGCAGAACAGTAGTATGGACTGAAGTACACTGCTGAGGGGAGCAGCAGGCAAGAGTGTGTGCTGTGCCATGTGTGTACATAATATTTAAACAGAAACCCAAGCATTGTTCAAGGATCTAAAATAAAGAAAATGATGCACCAGTTCAAGGGAGGACTTCTGAGGTCCCCTTGTAGATTGGATAAGAAGTGGTAGACAGCATAAACCCAAGTTAATGGGGGTGTTTATGATGAAATTTCTGAGTTTTAATTGCTAAGTTGATATATTACTATGTGAGCCATGTGATACCATTTCTGGATTTTAAGTAAAGAAGTGAGATGGCAAGTCTTGCATTAAAAATAAGTTGTTATTCTCTTCTACAGGGTAATTAATGAATTAAAGAGATTTAAGATATGTAAGAGAAAATTAGAAAACAATGCATTGAACTAGAGTTGTGGCAATCTATATAGGGAAATAGACTGATTTTTAAAAGATTTTGAAATTAAAATTTGTAATTACTGGTAAATGACTTAAAGTGGGAAGGACCGAATGTTAGAATTCACACTGAGCTTAAATCTAACTTCCTTTGAGTGACTTATCTAATCATTTAAAAACAGAAATCAAAGTGTTTGCAGTGACTGTGATCATCTAGAAAGAGCATTTAATCAAGAAAAAAAAGAGGGCCCATGATTTTGTCCTTAGCCATCTCAATATTTATGGATTAGAAAGATGAAGAAGTGTCATAGAGAAACACAAAAAAGGAAAAGACAATAAAGCGAAATAGGATAATAAATTGACAGCTTCTTTGAGTATAGAGGGAAGCATGTTTCAATACAGAGTAGGGAGTCAACCATTTTGAATGTTATGAAGTCATTGTAAGTCTAGAGAATAGTCTTTTCAATTTATTTAGATTCACTTTAGTTTTTTGCTATTCCAAAGAACATCAGTTTCTGTGAACTATTGTGTATATAGTCTTCTCCGAGATAAGGAGACAGTAGGAAGTGTGCAAATCCTAATAGCAAGGATAGAAAATTATATCTAAAACATAGGGTGTGAAGAGAAACACAGAATTAGAGATTGATGAAGATGTTGACATATTTGTGAAGTTTTCTTATTTCTTTATCTTATTTTTAATATGAGAAATTAAAATTCCATACCTGAGTCAGTTTAATAAATCAATAGAGAAAGAAATAAAGATGAGAAAGTATATAAGAGTCTAGACAGTTTCTAGAGATTGTGATAATAACACATGATGAGAAAGCTTGGAAATTTAGGAAGTAACCAGTAAATATTAGAAGGATGGATGTTGGAAATGTTGGGTTGAGATGCATGGTTTGGCTGTAGTCAAGTTACTGGTTAATTTCAAAACTAAAACAGATAAAATTTCATAACTAAAACAAATGAAATATGAAAGAGTAACCAATGAATGAAATCTTCTGAAAAGATCATCATAGAATGTATATTCATGAACATGAATATATTTATGAATGGATATTCTTTAAAATAATAAAGGAATTTTAGAAATAGTTAAATATTTTCTGTAAGTATGTAAATTGTTAAGGTGTTTAAAGATATCTTGCTAGTAAACTATTTTCTGTTATTTTTTAGCATGTAGGTATAACTCTTAACATAATTTTTATGTGTCATTTTTCCTTCAGTTATCTAACTTTTCATCTGACTCACTTTTCTCTCTGGTAAATACACATTTCCTATCACAAAATGTTTCCTTTCATCTCTACTGCTGAAATTCCTGTTTTCTGGTGTTGTGCCATATACTTACACATTGGAGAAAAGTCATGCAAACTGATTTAGAAAGAATTTAAATTCCTCTAAATACCAATAGTAAATGAGGAATTATAAGCAAATGCCAAAGAGACTGATATAGCAAACAGAGGACAGGGGTGTTTTATTTTGAAATCTCTTAAAAATCATGTGTAATTTTGGAAACCACTGTTACTCAATAAAAATAACATACTCAAATTAAAAAAAAAAAACAACACTACTGAAAAATAAAAGTTCTATTCATATGGGACTTTCGGGCCTCCCTCATGGTGCAAGGGGTTAATCAGTACAGCACTGTGAAGCTATCCCCAGCCTCTGCAGCACCAGTTCCATACTTTGCCAGCCAGGAATCGACCCATGTGGCACAGCAGACCTCTTCTGTCTACCCACTGCTCCCCTTAGCAGTGCATTTCAGTCAGTCTGCCTGTTCTGTTCCCCGCTCTGTCTCTGGTGAATACTCTCACTCCTTGTGCCTCTGGCCCATACTCCAGTTCTTGTATGCAGAAATACATAAATCTTTTTTTCAAAAAAATAGGACTTTCAATGCTATTTGAAAAGTTGGTTTAAAATAAAAAGGTGCCATAGTCAAAAAATTAAAAAAGGTGGGTAAAATAAAAGTATGAAATTTTAATTTGCTAGCTGTTCTTATGGATATGAAAGTCATTTTATTTATCTCTACCTATTTTTTTAATGAATTCACAGTTACAAAAATAAGAAACCTCAGAGAGGCAAAGGAATATCTTTACCCCGTACCATGAAAAACGAGAAGATCAAGTGATGCTAAGCTTTAGCAGGGGCCTCTGTGGTGGCGCAGCGGATTGAGCACAGTGCTGGGAAACTGTCCGCAGCCTCTGCAACACGGGTTCGATTCCTGGCTGGCCAGGAAGAGTACCACATGGCGCAGCAGACCTCTCCCATCTTGCCCACTGCTCCCCTCAGCAGTGAATTTCAGTCAGTCAGCCTGTTCTGCTCCCTACTCTGTCCCTGGTGAATCCTCTCACCCTCCACATCTCTGGCCTGTACCCCACTTCTTGTATAAATAAAAATAAATCTTTAAAAAAAAGCTTGGTAAACACTTATTATTACATATTTTCATGAAAATAAGATTTATATTAAGTTTACTGTATCACAACCAAATAAATGTAATTTCCCAGATGTGGCATTCAATACATAGCAGAATCTGTAGGTTCTTAAATTTTTCAGAAATTTTGAAATAAGGATATGTATGTATGCTATTTGAAGCTATTTTAATAACTTCATAAAAACTAATCCCATATCATAAGAACTTGAGAAATAATGATGATAAAGAAAAATACACATTACTTTTAAAGTTTGCTGATCAGTGAAGAAAGAACCTATTCATATTTCCTTCAGAGATTTTTACCAGAATGATTGTTCAATTTTACTGATATTTCTTTCCAAATATACAGACCAAATAGTCACATATTTATCAGCATGATTAGTTATAGTAATGGATTTCCTTTTACTCAACCACTTTTAGCTGCTACTTACGCTATATATATATTTTTTCTCTTTAATAATGTATGCAAGAGTTTAGCTTCATTACCCATAAGTGAGATGTTTACAAATTTGGGGAGAACTTTTATATTTTTGAAACTTGAGTTTTGATAGCTTATTCTCATTGATTTTGGAATCTGGCTTTTTAAAAAATAATTCCAGAATGTGGAAAACTTGTAAATACTGGTCCTTTGAAGAATTTCTGTTATTAATGTGTTAGACCACCTTAGAACTTGTTCTAGGCATATGCATTTCTTTCTAAATTTTTACTATTTGCAATACCTTATTTTTATCATCCTCATTTTGTGTATATACTTACACAAATCAAAACTTTGAGACAAATATTTAGAGGCAAATTTAAATTAGAAACTTTTAATCAACCTAAGTTATAGTATTAAAAAGAAGGTTGAGCAGAGATGTACTTAATCAAAAAGGTGTGTATAACATATGAGTAAGAAACCCCTAATCATGGGAGGCACTGCAAAAACTAGTATAGGGTGATTGATAAACAACTAAATTCATTTCCTCTATAAGGAGATGGACTTGCTATTCTATCTGCATGAAACCAACTTCTAACATGGTTTATACCCTCCTTCTCATGGTTTACATCCTCATTCAATTTATCTCTTCAGATGTCAGCTCTTTACAAAGGACTTTATTCAATTCCTGTGTTAAGTTCATAACTTCACTTTATTTTCCTTCATACCATTAATTATCAACCAAAATTACATATCCTATACAAATGAAAGCAGGAAGTTGACATAGAAACATTAATAGCAAGTTACTTATTAACTTTAAATATTAAGAAATGCTTAAACTAAACAAAATGCATGAAAATTGAGAAAACTTTATATTGACGTAGATATCAATCCAGTAACATTTAAATGTTAAAGGACTATTTCTCCCAAATTCTGATATTAAAGTAAGTGTAGTTCAACACTACTTACTCAACCAAAATTTCACTGAAAATATATGACACCTAATATTCTAAAACATAAAATAGCACAATAAATATGGCATCCACTAGCTCATCCACAATAAAGAGACTAAATGCTGAAATTAAGCCAATTAGAGATAAATTTTAATGAAAAAAAAATATATGAGCAAAGGACTCTGAAATAATGACCAGTGAACAGCATTCATTTGAATGTAAAATCAAAACTGAACATTTTACCTAATGATTACAGAGCCAAATATAAAAGGCTGTAAGTACTTAAAATGTGAAAATAATAAAAAAAAAAATGGCAAAATTGTATAGTTAGAAGGTAGTGGGAGGAAATGGGAGAGTTTTAAATAAATTTCAAAGTACCAGTTGTTTCTAATTTTAGACTTTGTCTCTTAGACACACTAGAACTTCACATTATTTTTAAAATTACTATTAGTATTTGTTTTCCTTAACTCAGAGATGTTTTGGGAAGTAACATTTATTTTGAAATGAAGTTATTTAGTTATCTAGTTTGGCAATTCTTTTAACATCATTATTTTTATTTATTTATTTTTACTCTATTTTTACATAGAAGAACTGGGGTGTAGGCCAGAGGTGAGGGGGTTGTTGTGAGAGGATTCACCAAAGACAGAGTGGGGATAATAACAGTTGGATCCACTGAAATCCACTGCTAAGGGGAGCAGCAGGCGAGACAGGAGAGGTCTGCCGTGCCATGAGGGTTAGCTCCCTGGCCGGGAATCAAACTCAGGCCGTAGCAGTCATAGTACCCCTGCATTATTTTTAAAGTTTTTTTTTTTTAAGTAACAGAATACTATGACAATTTTTCTGTAAGCATATCTATGTTTTATTCCTATTCTATCAATAATCATCTCCTTCAAAATTATATATAGATTAATATATTATCTATCAGGTTGGGAATGGACTAAATTTTTTTTTTTTGCTAAAATTTTATCTAATGAACATGTTTCCTATTAACTTCAATAATGCAGTGATTTTAAAAAAAAATCTGGTATTTAATAGTAAAGGTTGAAAGAGAGTCATGTACATTAAATTCTCACCATTCATTATTATTAATAGAATCTGTACAAGGTTATTAAATGCTATTTTAAAAATATGAAAATTACCACAAGAGTATCTCTTGAAAGAATATACATGTTGATAACAGGGAGTAGTGATTAACCTTATTTGATTTGTTTTCTTCTCCATGCAAATTATTGATATATTTGTAAATATGTCTTCATATAAAAAATTTAAACATATAAATTTCAGACTATCACAATAAATATACGTACAAAACAAATTTACCTAGTGTAAATTTAGCTTGCAGAAGGGAGGCAAATGCTAACGCTCTGCTGAATACTTTGTCTAAAACTGGAAAAAATACTACATTTCCCTAGTCTAAGAGACTTGGTGTTGAGCATTTTTAATATCTAGTCTTTCTCATTTACCTTACACATGAAGTAATTCTAGGTTTCAAATTAGCAAAACAGCATGATTTCATTCTGGTTCTATGGGAACGTATAATTGATCCTGACTATTTAGGTTAAATACAATTGTATGCCATATATATTATATATATAATATAGCATATATTATAGAATATATATCATGAATTTTAGGATCATATCTGAATTTATGTCAATATTAAAATTGGTATCTGCTTTGTTTAGTAATATTCATATATGCTAATTTTAATATTGATATAAATTCAGACATGATCCTAAAATTCATATATATTTAGGCTATTCTACAATATATGCTATATTATATATGAGTGCAGTTGACATATTATATTTAAGACCTTATCAAATTTCTGTGTGTTTGAATTTTGAATGACTGATGATTCTTTGCTATAATTTTATGCCAAATATGATAATAAATTATTTTCAAGGAGCCAATGTAAAAGATGGGATGGTTTGCACATGGCTTAAAGCATAGGATAGAGAAAAAAGCATTTACCAAAGTGGGACTGCCAAACCACAATATTTAGGGGGGGGCGGGAAGACAAAAATAGCTATATCTGCCTAAGGCTGTGATATGGGGACAGTTGCAAGAGCAGCAATCAGGTGACATCAGTTACTACTGTAACATAATGTTTTCTCACTAAGCACCACTTTGAGGCTGTTATATCCATTTGTCACAGCTAAGATGACATAAAAATCCATGTCCTGGCTTCAGGATAACTGGTAAATATGCTTTATCTCCTTATTGTTTCACATCCTCAGGATAGGCCAGATAGTTAGATCTCTCACCTAGAATCCTAGCGTGAAATATGTCTTTTTCAAGTATGGCGGTGAAAAAGAACTTTCTGTTTGGAATGGATGATGAGGTCATGAAGAAAGTCAGCAGTAACTTCCTTATGTGATAAGCTTGAAATGAGCTCTCCTGGTAAAACTCTTGTGTCTTTTGATCCATCCTATAGAGATGTCTCTTCAGTATTCCCCTTCGATCCAGTCCCCAAAAGGCACCTACATGGAACAGATTCAAGCCCAACATAAGACTATGCAAATGCAGCCAGATTCTGAAGCATCACTACCCAGCAGCACACAGACTATATCAGTGTGGAGGCAGGATGGCCACGGAGCAGGATCTCTGTGATCCAAGCAGACAGGGTAAAGGAGGAGTTCTGGAGCCCTCGGTGGCTTTTGCAGGCTTTTATTGGGATTCACCAGGTACATGGCAGGCAGTTGTGCCGGGGGGCCGGGAGGTAAATACCAGATTAGCCCAGGTGAATCCCATGTACATATGCCCACACCCTACTCCAGGTGCCCACCATCAGGCATGCATCAGGACCTCAGGGATCCATCATCAATCCTAATGGTGGGAGGGCAGAAAAGCCTGGTACTTTTTCACGTCCCCTACAATCAGCTAATCTGTTTTTAACCTGCAGATTTAGAGCAAGTGAATAAATGTTCCTGCTATAGGCCACTAAGATATTGGAGGTTTTAGCTATGCAGCAAAAACTTAATGATAAAGAATTTAAGGTTGCCCTCACATAAATTTTAATCTGTAGAGAAAATGACTTGTATTTTAAAAAGCTCTTCCACTCAGAAACTAGGAAAAACATTTGAAAGAAGTATAAAATATTCTGGAAAATAGGGGTCACAGTGAAGGTGAGAGGCCTCAGGTTTGACAAGATTTTATGAAAGTGACAGCAATAGATTTATCTTGAAGAAAGGGTAGGATATGAGCAAGTTGTGGAGAGATGAGGAAGGATGGAGAAGGTTAACTGTAGTGTAAGCACCTGACAATTGAGTTTTTTTATTGTAACCCAAGTGCCTGCCATTAAGCTCTTGATTGCGGAGGCAGCATCCTTTTCAAATAAACACTTTGCAAGCTATGGAAGCAGGTAAAGAGCCAGGTCCCACTCTCACTCCTGAAGTTTCCTTTGTTTTGCAGTCTCTGGCTGATTTACATAACTGACCACCTGGCCACTTGTTTTTACTACCCAAGGCCTTAATTCACACTCTTGCTCTTACGTTTTTATGTTTTAAATCAGTGATAAAAAGTGATCCCCTGAAGCCCTAGACACTCCGGCCTGGATGCCAATCAA